CCCTAAGGTGGCAGGGACTGAGGAATTACTTCCTAAGACTCACCCCACCAGCCTGTGTTAGTCCGAATTAGCACATGTTAGACTGAGTTAGTATACGTCAAATTGGTGTAATTAGCATATGTAGACTAAGTTAGTTTAGACTAATTTTGCCTAAACACCCCTTGTTAGGGCTGCAGGCTGAGTTAGCCTATGTTAGGCCAAGTTAGAACATCTACCGCCATGACAGGGATTCAAAGATGGGCCACAAGAATTCGCTGATTAACAGACAGGAATTCAGCAAACAAGATAAAGGAATTCACGAGTTAACAGAGAAAGGGCAGGTCTGGCTGGCAATGACAGGATGAACAAACCTGAAGGCACCAGGGGGAGATTACCTACCTTAGCTGAGAGTTCTTATCTAAATTCAGGCAGGCAACAGATAATCCCTAACTACAAATGGTTTCTCCTCTGAATGCTGTAAACTATGAAAAAACTGCTAATAAAACATCCTGTGTTGTCTTCTGAGCTACAAAAACCCCCTCATCCAAAAAGGCCCTATCCAGTAATCAAGATCTAAGAAGAAAATATACCGGACAGATGGACTCCCTCGCCCTGAGGCCTGTGATTGACTTCACCTGATCAAACAGAACTGCGTATCATGTTTTATGATTATTGTTCCTATGCTTTGAATACTTTATTTTTTAGAGTAAAATCTTTTACTTCCCCGTCACCCCTCCTACTCCTGTAAACATCCCTCAATAAAAATGTATGTCTCCTAGCCACAGACACTGCAGTCTTGAGCTTGCTCTGACTGTAGTCGGCTGAGAACATGCTAAAGAGCATAGAGGTCTCTGCCTGATTTCTCATCGCCTGCATCACCTTGCGTGGAGTCTCAACCCACCCCGGCTGGAGCAGGTCTCTGGCACACATACAATGTGCTCCTCTGCAACTATTATCACTTTTATCAAAATCATGCTATCCTATCCTGAATTGTTAATATTGTCATTATCTCCCTTAGGATGGTTCTTTAAGAAATGATCATTCATTCATTCTTACAAGCTCTCCAGGTCCAAAATTAAGTATCAATAGTAATGGTAGACTGCTACATTAGTCACACATAGCACTCATAGACCAAAAGCCTTCAAAAGAACACACAAGGGCAAGTGTATTACAAGTGTAATAATACAGCTATCTACCATGTGATAGACACTGTTTCATCTCCCCTTGTTGATAGGAAAAAGCAGTAAGAAATAAACACCTCACGAGAAACTGGTGCCATACCTACCTTTGGACTTCCCAGCCTTTAGAATAGAAATAACTGTGACATTATGAACTAAATAACTTTTATTTTATTTTTGTTAGAGGGCATGTGCACTTGCCAGCAAAAGAGGAAAAGTGAAAAAGCATCCCCTATGGAGACTGGTCATGCCACAATTGCTGGGACTCACATGACAGAATGCGTTTTTCTGGGGGCAGGGGGAGGCTATGGATTAGAAATAAACAAAAAAATAAACATACAAAGATATACAAGTATAGAAAAGTGAGGATTGGGTAGGCCCAACTTCTCTGATGAAGATAGCAGTGACCCCAAACCAGTCCCAGGTTTCTTCTTTCAAAGGGCAGAAAATGGAGGAAGATGTTAATCAGCTGGAGTGAAGACAGCTGGTGCCATGTAATTTCTCTGATCTTATGGGGCAAATTCTGATAAACGCACATGGCTTCCTTTAACCGATACTGCTCTACAGTTTTGATAACAACAGGCAGCTACCATATTTGCGTGCAAATTGCTTTCATGGCAGTGCAAATGACAGCTCATGGAACAATGTTTCTGCATGTGTCTAAAGATTACCATGTTTGCTCAGATTGGCCACTCACCACACATAATCCCTTCTCCTCCATTTCTTCTTTCTGTATTTTGGATGTGTGTTTACCAGTCCAGGATTTGAACAGTGTGTCAGCCATGTGGGATACAGCTTCCTTAACCACCATACTACCAGCTGGCCTTAAGTAAGTTTTCTTAATATTAATAAATGTTTAAAAACTACAAATGAATACAGGACTTAATAGAGAAGATCATGAATCAGACTATTCTAGATCTTATTTTCAGTCCTATGGGCAGGCTACTTACCCTTAACTATCTACTTTATAATAATGATGTAAGGAATAAGATCTTTGCTGATTACTTAGTATTTTGACTAAGTATACTGAATACTGCTCTTAAAAATAATTGGATTAAATATCAGTCTTTCCCAGTTTACCATAATTCCTAATTCATAGAATACCTAAAGTGTAAAGAAGCTATCAAAGAATGCATTTTCAGTTTTATTTAAAAAGCAAAACTTTTCCCTTTTGGCTGGAACTGCCACCTTCTAGTAATTAACCGAAATGACAAACACAAAAGGGGAGAGGCACCCGATATATGTTCTCTAGGCATTTTAGAAAACATGGAGTGGTTCCTTTGGCAACATATATGCGAATCTACAAGAAAGGTGATATTGTAGACATCAAAGGAATGGGCACTGTTCAAAAAGGAATGCCCCACAAATGTTACCATGGCAAAACTGGAAGAGTCTACAATGTTACCCAGCATGCTGTTGGCATTGCTACGAACAAACAAGGGCATGAGTCTTGCCAAGAGAATTAATATGTGTATTGAGCATATTAAGCATTCTAAGAGCAGAGATAGCTTCCTAAAACTTGGGAAGGAAAGTGACCAGAAAAAGAAGGAAAGAGAAAAGGTAGGTACCTGGGTTCAACTAAAGCACCAGCATGCTCCACCCAGAGAAGCACATTTGTGAGAACCAATGGAAAGGAGCATGAACAACTGGAACCTATTCCCTATGAATTCATGGCATGATGGATGTTAAAAATAAATTTATCTGTGGTTTATTAAAAAAACAAAACAGGGACCAGCAGTTAGCGTAATGGCTATGTTGCTGGACTCCCATGTAGTTGACTGTGGTTCGCGTCCCGGAGCCAGTGGCTTAAACTCACACCGGGCGCGTGTGCGTGCGTGCCCAAGATCCCGAGAGGAGAATGGAGAAGGGATTGTGGCGTGGCCATCCTCCCTGGGGGGTGATTTCTTGCTTTCTGTCTCTCTGTCTCTCTCTGTCTGCCTGGCAAGCACACGCGCCCTATAGCAAAAACCTCTAAAAAACAAAACAAAACAAACAAACTTTCTTCCTCTATATTCAGAGCTGTTTCAGTGGCCAAACCTGTGCCCCTGAACACTGTATATTCTTACTTTTTTTCCCTGTCAAAAGTATGTGCTTGCCAGAGAGAGAGAGAGAGAGAGAGAGAGAGAGGGAGGGAGGGAGGGAGAAATAGCTCCCCTGGGCGGGGGGCGTGGGATGGCCATGCCACAATCCTTTCTCCTTCATTCTCCTCTCAGGATTTTGGGCACATAGGCAAACACACTATGTGTGATTTTCAAGTCACTGGGTCTGGACTTGAACTGCAGTTTGCCATGTGAGATTCAGTCCCCTTAACCTCTATGTCACCTACTGGCCAGCATATTCCTAATTCATAAAGGGGATTCATCATCTAGAAGCAAAGGCATATTGTGGTCTGAAGAGCAAAAATATCCTGACGGACAGTTTGTAAAGTCTTCAGGAATAAAAAAGAAACCAAATTTAAAATAAATGGAGAGGGGGGCTACAAAACACTAAAAAGGCTGTAATAAGTCTTGAAAAGTGAAGGTATTCAGCTGAACAACAACAACAAAAAATTAAATCTAGAGAATTATTTCTTCATCAGTGACCTAAGACAAAGTGCCATACTTTTCTAGGATCACCTGGTCAAGTATTCCTGTCTTTAACGTTTCTTATCATGCTTCACTTTTCTCAGTAGTTATCCACTGTCCTTTCACCTCCAGGCTCACTGCAGCGATCTCTAGAGGACTCACTTCAAGTCCCAAGCCTTCCTAGGACCTCCTGACATAGTTCCCAGACATGGCATGAGGAATCCCTTTCTAACCAAGACATTTAGAAACTTATAGACAATGAGAGAATAAAAAGTTTAGATCTTAAAGGAGAACCAAGCTTCCTGGCCTATAGTATTTCTGCTCTTCTGTATCTTTAAGCCAACAAAAAAAACCAACAGGATAGTTCTCGTTCCTCAATCCCAGTATTAGATATTTTAAACATCGCTGGTAGAGGTAATCCTTTACAAAAAACTATTTAACCGAAAGCAAGCAAGCAAAGTCTGAATGTAACCGCAATAATTTTCTACTGGGTGCTTCTTTCTGGGGGTATTGCCGTTGCAATTACCAGGTAAGCTAGTCCTTGGACTCTATTCCGTGTACTTGCGGTAATCCAAACTTGGATGACACAATAAACAAGTTCTTCCTTTCCCTTTCCCGTGGTCACGTCATCTACCTGTTGCATCACCGGCAAAGTGGTCTTCAGCAGCTGAGGAGGGAGCATCACCCTGACCTCTCAGTAATTCAGCTGGGCTATTTTCTTGATAAATTTTCACCTCATTCATTTTAATGGGGGGGAGGGTGCTTGGAGGCAAGGGTATGCTGGCTCCTGTTCACCTTCGAAGAGACTCTCACGGGGACACACAGCTGTGACTTTGCGGACTTAACAGGGGCTTGGGAGTTTCTGAAGACTTGAGCAAGAAGACAGATGTACGGCTCGGCAGCGGAACCGGGACTGCCCGCGACCAGGACGCGGGGACCGGGGCCGCCCCAGCACCACCGGGAAGGTCGGAACCTCGACAGAAGCTTTGCGGAAAGGACACCCTCCTCCGCCAAAGATCCGGGCCCAGAGCCAGGGTCCCGGCCAAGCTGAGGCCATGGGAGAGGTTGATGCCGATCTGCGAGCCTTGGCCAAAGCCCTCGGGCTGACGGGGCGGCACTGCCAGGAGCGTCCACGAGTGCGAGGATTAAAAATAGTGCTTCCCTTTCCCCCCAGCCCCAGACAACTAAACTGGAGGCGGAGACGCGAGGCAGGAAGCGCCCGGCACGGGTCCGAGCCCGTAGTGTCTAAGATGCCGGCCTGGGCCGGGCCCGCACTCACCATGTCGTACACGTTGAGCACCACTAACTGGTTAGCCCCCATCCTCCCCGCGGCCGCCGCCGC